CGAGATCGTGACCTGGCTGAAGTCGGACGCTTAACCAACTGCGCCACCCAGGCGCCCCATAAATTCTTTATTCCATGTATTTTTGAGCCACAAAGCATGAAGAGTTTATATTGGCATGATGTATGAAATGGGTCTCTGATCCATTTTTTTCACATGGTAGCTAGTTGTGTCATCAGTATTTATTGATTAAACCATGGATATTTACTTTTGGGAGTCATCAGTGTACCAGGGGGAGCAGATGGAATCACTTAGGAGTATACAATGAGTGAGAAAAGAGGGCCTAGGCCTAAGTCCTGAAAGAATCCCAGAATATCGATTTTTGTTTGAGGAGTCTGAGCCAACACAGGAGAAGGAGCACTGCAGGGAGAGGTGCCAAGAGCCTGGGGACTCAGGAAGTGATTATCTTGAGTGAAAGGGAGAGGCTGGCTGAGTGGAAGCTCACGGAGAGGTTCAGTAAGGTGGGGACTGGAGTTGGTGATCAGCTCCAAGCACATGGATGTCAAAGGGACCTGGTGACTGCTGTTGGGTGGAGTAGTGAGGCAAATGTTATGTTCAAGCAGGTTCAGAAGGGAGTGAGAGGTGGGAGATGGCGAATGGTGACCGTTGATTCAAGAAGCACGTGTGTGAAGGGTGGGAGAGCAAGGACCCATCTGAGGAAATTTTTTAAAGGTGGGAGACGGGCGCCTAGGTGGCGCAGTCGGTTAGGCGTCCGACTTCGGCCGGGTCACGATCTCGCAGTCTGTGAATTCGAGCCCTGCGTCAGTCTCTGGGCTGATGGCTCGGAGCCCAGAGCCTGTTTCCGATTCTGTGTCTCCCTCTCTCTCTGCCCTCCCCCGTTCATGCTCTGTCTCTCTCTGTCCCAAAAATAAATAAACGTTGAAAAAAAAAATTAAAAAAATAAATAAATAAAGGTGGGAGAAATATTTACATGCTTGAGTGCTTGTAGGAAGGATCCAACGAAGAGGGTGAGGTAGAGGCAACAGTGAAGGAGGAGATGATCAGTAGTGGAAAGTTCCCAAGAAGATGGCACAAGACTTCAATCTGAGACAGAGACACCTGCTTAAAGTACAAGAGACTATATGTTGCAGCAGAGGAAGGGAGACAAGGATGGAGATAGAACTGTCTGTGTTCACCTCTTCTTGTCTTTAGCCATAGGTTAAAAACTGATGATAGAGGTGGGATGGACAGTGCCTGTCAGGTACGGTAGAGGTCAAGGTCATGTTACTGAGTTGCCAGCTGAAGTAAAGGTGGGAGGACCGTATTGCAGATCCAGAGATCATCCCGTCTGGTTCCAAATTAGGACCTTTGGCTTACTTGCTGTATGGGGTTGGGGAGGTGAGGCTTGGGGAAGTTGGGGCCTAGGGTCAAGCTTTTCACAGCCCGTTGCTTTTCCTCCCCCTCTCACCTTCCACTTGGGCTCCAGCCATGGCCTCATTCGTGTTGCCACATGGTAGAGCCCCCAAACCCACTGAGGCTCCATACCAGGTCCTCTGAGGCTCTGTTCATTTTGATCCCTTTTGGAGCTCTCCTACAAGCAGTCTTTGAACCATAAGGAGAGATTGTCCAGGGACTGGTTTCTATTGCTCTTGGCTTCTTGGGGACATCCAACCTCCTGTAATCCCAACGGGGAAGAATTTTTTTTTTTTTAAAGCAGGCTTCATGCACAGTACAGCACCCAGCACGGGGCTCGAATTTAAAACTGTGAGCTCAAGACCTGAGCCGAGACTGAGTTGGACACCTAGCTGTCTGAGCCACCCAGGCTCCATGGGGAAGATTTTTTTGATAGAGCCTCTACATTGGAAACTATTGGGATAGTTCAGAGGCAGAGGAGATAATTCTACACAGGCTTTCTGGTGCTCTGCTTTATCTTCCTTTGCTCTGGGCCTAAACATCTTTTCTGCAGGGGGACACACACTTGCCTGATTCCAGTGACTCCTGGATAGGGGATGTTCGGGGACATTCTGCAGTGAGGAACAGTCAACTGAGTCTGGCTGGATCCACCTGGAAGAGCTTAGCTTACAGTGAGTGGTGGGGGTGAGGGCATGCAGCTATCTGCCCGGTTTGGGGACTTTGGGGGCGGAGGTCCTCTAGATCCTTAGGGAGTCATTAGCCCGAGGTTATCAGCCCCGAGTCACTGTCCCTCAGGAGGCTGTTGCTGCTCTGAGGCCTCGACGCTCATGCTGTCTCACGACCTCTGCCTGTTCACTGCAGGCCGCAGAACCTCCCTGGGCAGCTGCTGCTGCTGTCCGTCCAGCCTGTCCAGCCTGGGGGCCTACCCGTCCTCCTCCTATCAAGATTTGGCCAAGCACATCGTGGACATCTCTATTGCTGACGTGAGGAGCGATTCCGCTCGTCCCCGTGGTTCCTTTACCGGCCCTCCGCCGGGTGGGGAGGGGGAGGGAGGGAAAGGAGGGAAAGAGCAGGGCAGATGAGGGCCAACTTCTTTCAGATGAGGGTTAGGGCTTCTTTGGTGGCTCTCCATCTTGACAGGGAATTCAGCAAACACTGGCCCTAGTGACTGACTAACCCAGGGGTCTGCTTTGTACCGTGCCCGCTCACTTGGGTGTGATCCCTGTGTCTGCAGGTAATGGCTGCTTGCTCAGGTAACCTGCACAACCTCTTCAGCTGCCAGCCAGCAGCTGGCTGGAAGTAAGTTCCTTGTAGTGTCTTGTCCTAACCTGTTGTCCTGCTTGTCCTCTTTCCTCCTTTACCTTCTCTGCCCCGGCTCCCTTGAGTCCCTCCCCTGAACTGCCCCTCTATGACCCAGGAGCCCAGTTCTCACCTCTTCTTCCTCTTCCCCACCCTCGGTGTCCCCAGCCATCAGGGGGAGGAGCAGGAGGTGCATCTTTACTACAAGATGTTTTCTTCTACTCGGCATGGCTTCCTGGGGGCAGGCATGGTTTCCCAGCCACTGTCTCATGTGTGGGCAGCTGTGAGTGACCCCACCCTGTGGCCGCTCTACCACAAGCCCATCCAGACAGCGAGGCTGCATCAGCGGGTGACCAACAGCATCAACCTTGGTGAGCCCAGGGAGGGCTTCCCATGGGTCCGGGCCAGGGGCAGCAAGGGTTGGAGGTGGTCCTCTTGGGAGGCCAGGTGCTCACACGACCTCCTCCGGGTGGCTCAGGCTAGGTCTGCCTGTCAGGTTGCAGAATGACAGGATATTGGCGGGCGCTCCTGGGCTGGGAAGGATTTAGGACTAGGTCTGTCCATGCACCTCCTGACTCTCCCCATTCCTGACCCCCCAGTGTACTTGGTGTGCAGTACTGCCCTGTGTGCCCTGAAGCAGCCGCGGGATTTCTGTTGTGTCTGCGTGGAAGCTAAAGAGGTGCCTGCCTCGCTGGTGGTAAAGATGTGGGAGGAAGTTGGGCTGGAGTGCTGTTGAGAGGCAGTCACTGTGGGCCTCAGGTCCTGCAGGGAAAGGAGGGTGCGGTGGGCAGGGATGAGGATGACATGAAGCCTGTCTGGCCGCACTGGAGCCTGTCCTGGTTTGATCCACTTCACTCCCTGTCCCTAGGGGCACCTGTCTGTCATGGCGGCTCAGTCTGTTTATGATACATCCATGCCGAGACCCAGCAGAGACATGGTCCGAGGGGAGATCCTGCCCAGTGCCTGGATCCTACAGCCTCTCACCGTGGAAGGAAGGGACATCACTAGAGTCATCTACTTGGCCCAGGTGATCCTTCCTGTGTGGCTGGCTGCACAGAACGCCTCGGTGTGACCCCACCACCCCGCAGGAGTTTACTGTTCAGCTGCTCAACACCCTTCAGTGCCCAGGCCCTGTGTCCCCAGAGCTGGAGGCTCAGGCTTCCTGGGCCACAGTGCGGGGAGTCAGTGGGGAATCGAGGACGGAGGAGGAGGACAGAGTAGGTCAGTCTTCTCTGACTGAAGTTGCCGTTACCAAAGAGTTCGGTGGCCTTTAGACCCTCTGTTGCTGAGTCCGTGGGAGATAGCCACGGTGAGGGAGGAGCAGCAGCCTCAGCAGAGCAGAATGAGCAGGACCCATTCTGTTCTTGCTCCACTCCCAGTTCCCCAACGTGACCTTTGTCACCGGGAGGTGAAGCCCATGCCTAGATCTGAACAGCAGAGCCCAGGGGCCTGTAAACTCCGGGACCGCAGAGGAGCTTTTTGCATCGCAACAGCCTGGGTGACTACCTGGGGCTGACGTGTGGCCTGGCGTGTTCTCCCCATCTGTACACACCTTTAACCCTTCCCTCTCTGCTTTATTTCAGGTAGAATTTGGTGCACCGGGCTTCCCCCCTCAGCTCCTAAGCTCCTTCATCAAACAGCAGCCACTGGTTATAGCCAGACTGGCTTCCTTCCTTGGGAGTTAGCATCTTACTGTCAAGATGGTGCTGCAGAGACGCAGGTGCAGGATGTGCCCGTGATGCCAGGTGGCTCTTGTCATTCTCTGTACAGGATGCAAGGACAGGCGAGGCTCCTGGTTGTGGCTGACCAGGCTGACCAGAACTCAGACATGAGTTGCCAGCAAAGTCCCGTCAGTACTTGGGTCACAGCTGGTGCCTCTGCAGAGCGAGGGGACCTGAGTTCCTGGCCCCAGGTGGCCAGCATCAGTGAAGCTCAACTCACCTTTTTGGATTCCTCAACCTCTCTTTCCTCTCTGGGACATCGTGGCAGGCCGCTTGAAGACCAGGACTGGGCGTAGCCAGCAGAGCCAGGAGAGGGCAGTACTCTGGCCCAGCCCTCAGCCAGGGAGGGAAGCAAGCAGCCATTGACCGGGACTGTTCAGAATCCGTTTCCAGCATTCAGCTCCACTGCGGACTGCAGTATTGGAAAGTGCCAAACCAGAAAAACAGTTTAAAAAAAACAACTGCACAAACCATTCGGAATCGTTTCTCCTTGCATTTTTACAAAATGCTTTATTACTAATTTTTACTTTTTCCTCTTCGTTTCCTTCACAGGAGAGGACATTTGGGTCTTTGTCTCAGTCAGGAGTATTGAGCAATGCTCAGTCTTGGAGCCGTCACTCCAGAGCTCAGGAGAATGGGAAAGACCACTGTAGAAGCAGGTTGGACAGATTTGAGGCCAAGGAGGGGAACCTAGCCCTTTGAGGAGGGATGGGGGTGGGCAGCCCAATGTTGGCTGCTGACAGGGCAAGAGGAATTTCAAAGAGCTGAAAAGTTGTTTATTGAAGACTGGAGAGAAGATATGAGAACTCTTAGAGGAGGTAAGTGATTCATTAGGAGGAAACTCAGTTCTGTTCCTTCCCTCACTCAGAGCCTTGGTGCCAGCCTTCAGTGGTCCCCTGAGCGTCCGTGCTGCTGTGGTCAGATGTGCTATTCTAGGAGGGGATGGGGAATGGGCTCGGTTTTCTTGTACCTTAGCCTGCCTAAACTTGAGCTTCGAGTATTCAGTACGATTACGTGGAAGTGGTGGGGTGGGAGAGATTCCCAGCTTCCATTCTGGTGCCCACAATCTTTGGCGGAAGAGGGTGACCATATGGGGATTGAAAAGGTCAGTTTCTGTACAGTATAGCACAGAGATTTATTGTTTCTCAAAGTGTTTGCAGGATTGTTTTTCTTTTACCTCAGATTGTTACTCATATGTGATTGGTTGAAGACTTTTTAAATTGCTTTTAAATGTATTTTTCTGGCTAATTTTTTTGGTATATTTAACACCCTATTTATGTACTCCCATCTCTTTTTCATATAAATCTCTTAAGTCCATTGATTGAAAAAGTCAGAACACTTGCAAATTAAAGGTCCGTGGTGTCCTTTCATTTAGTGAAGACTGCGGTGTCCCTTGAGCTCAGACTTTAGTCTGGAGATGACGATGGCAGCAACAGCTCACGGCCCAGTTTCAAGCTATACAGTTCACACGAATGTACTGAGTTCTTTCCATGAGCTCAGCACGACTTTGTGTGTGAACAGCCCTGTCAGTTACCCAACTACAGCCAGCTGTAGCCAGATAGGAACATGAGAGAAGATTCCAGATCAGTTATTGCCACACACCAGTGTCCATGATCCCCTGGAAGGAAGCTCTTTAACAACAGGTGAGTACTTCTGGGCTTCTGAAGCAGAGCTGGCAATGGGAAGCTGAACATACGGGTCCCCAGAGGCGATCGCAATCCCCTTCCTACAATAGCCACACACCAGGCCTGAGTCAGCAAGCTAAGGAATATTAATTAACTGAGGCTGATTCTGTACTAAAGATAATCCAGGGACCCAGCTCCAAATGATCACGAGGAAGTCCAATTTTGGCTTGGATAGGTGGCTTTCTGACTTCATCAGAATCCCCTGAAGAACTTGTTACACCCCAGAGTTTGAGATGCGGTAGTCCTGGAGCAGGGCCAACGTATTTGTTGTATGTCTGGGAAGTCCTGAGGCTGCTGGTCTGGGGACCAGCCACACTTTGAAAACCAATGTTTGAGACAATTAGTAGAGAGCAGGTATGTAGAAAGGAACCTAATGAGTTCACTGTTTCACTGTAATTCTATCTTACTGCCTAGAGAATGGGCCTTTAAGGTTCACACAGGCCCCTGTGAAGTTTCCTGACCTGGGCCCACGCTATATTGAATTGAGTGGGCATTAGCCCAGCATCCCTGGGGCTTCAGGCTTGCCTCCAAGCTCCGCCTACCTGTCCCACCTACAGAGAGCTGGGTCCTCTGAAGTGGCAGCTTCTTACCTCAGGGCTCACCTTCAGAGAGCAGTGCTCTCGTTAAGCCACATGGGTGCAGAAAGATAAAACATTTCTTGGCTCCCAGGCATTCAGAACTTCCTGAATTTAGTATAAATGGATTTATAGGACACAGCCTATAGATAAGTGTAAAATGGATTTAAAGGACAAAATAAAGCCTTTGAAGATAAAAAGATTATGGAACAAAAGGTTCAGCTGCAGAAACTTGTAAAAGGAGCAGCTGGGAGGAGCTGAGGGACAGAAGTGGCTTTTTAGGTGCTGAGGGACCTTTCTGTGCTGAGGGCTGTCAGGACTTCCCACCAGCTTTCCTCAGGTGACAGACACAGCAGGCCCTTTTGGCCTTGGGTCGGCCTCTTTGACAGCTATGTACTTTTCCCCCAGGAACTACACACGGACACACAGAATTTTGTGAGACGCTTCAGGAGGGTTCCCTGAGTACCCTCTCCTTCCTCCAACACAGCCTGAATCCGTGTGCACTGCCAATGTAGAAAAGGAATGAATTTTATAGGAGTGAACTTCATGCACGTTATCAAGGTAGCGCTTTTTAGTCCAAACTTAGAGACACACAGAATGCTTTTGTTCTGAGCCAAATGCAACACCCCCAGCCCTAACAAACCAGCACAAGGGTTGCTCTGCCCTGTCAGTGCCCACCTTCAAGCCCACCTGAGACTACGGCCTTCTCAAGGGAAGAGCCAGGTGACAATAACTAGACATGAAGCCCTTGATAAAGAAAATGGTTTATTTTAAAAAGCTCTAATGTTCTGCCCTGTGTGTAGCCCCTGTATGGAGTTACGGTTGAGAGTTAGTACCTGCACAGGGCTGAAGGCAGAGAAGGTGCAGGGTAAAAGCTGGGCTTCTGGCAGGTCAGCCCCACCTCACGTACTGTGCATTTTTAAGGAGATGGCAGGCAGCCTAGCTCCTGGTGGTAAGAAAACGTCCACTCCCCAAGATTCATGTTTTAACTTTACTCACGAGTTAAGCAGAAGCCATTTGCCTCTGTCATGATTTCCAAACCAAGGAGTTTTAAGGGATGCTGGGGTAGCAGCAAATAGGGCTCGAGTCCTGTGTCGTCAAGCCCACACACGTCATTTAATAATCCAAATAATAAACGCCAACTCTTCTGCTCCAGGACTGGAGTCTGTCTCTAGGCTTTCCCATCACAATCCTGAATCTGGTGAACCCTCCTCCTTCCTCTAGGACGCGGGCGGTGAGCCTGCAGTCAGCGTCAGTGGGATGCCGGCAGCCACACGCTTCCCTCACATGTGAGCAGGAAGCCTGACTTACAGACTTAGCTGCTCCCGCGTCAGCAAGGGTCAGCGGTGAGCACTCCGAGGGGGGCACGGGGCCTCCTCCTGAGGCACAGTCCGGCCGGGCTCCAGGGTTCTGGTCAGACACCTGAGGCAGGGCCACTCCCCAGCCCTAGCTCTGGGCCAGCACAGTCCCCCGGTTTGTTTGCACCAGCTCACAAGCTCTTAGCTGGGGTTCTGGCATGTGAGGCTCAGCTAGAAATGGGTTGAACAGTGTTGCTAATTCTTCAGAGAAGTCCTGGAATAAGCAGAAAGAGGACAGACAAGGCTGACACATAATTCTGGATGGTACATCCTTTCTATAAAACTCAATCCCCAATATCTAGCCCTTGCTAACCAGTGAGTAGACAACCTTATTTTTTCCCAGCGGCCTTCTACACTTAAATGGACATGACACCTTTTCCCATTAGTCTTCTGGGGATGCTCCAGTTCCAGCAGGGAGAGGGGAATCTGACAGGAGGCGCAGAATCATCTAGTGAGTACTTACCACCAACAGATTTCATCCTGACAACCCTAGGAGGTATACACTATTCTGCCCTAGATCACGAGAACATTCAGTACCAGCTGAGATTCAAATCTAGGTTATTCTGATTTAAAAAACCCATACTCACCTTGCCGCGCTGCTTTCCAACTACCTGCCTTCCATCTTCCTTCCTCCGCTGGCACCCTCTTTCATACAGTAGCTACTCAAATGTGAAAAAGGCACTCCAGAACAGCCACACCATTTCAGGGTGGTCCTGAAGATACCTGATAAAGTCCACTGAGCTTTGGGAAGATCCTAAGAATGCCTGGGCCCCACCGCTGGCCCCATTTCAGGAGAAAAGGGACAGATGGATGAAGAGATGAGGACTCCTTACCTTTGGCCACTGGGCATCATGGAGGCTGCCCAGGCAGGCCTCTATCTCTGTCCGTCCCATCAGCCCTTTCTCTACCAGCTCCCGGAGCAAGAACAGCAGCAGGTCCCACTGCAACACACATGGAGAGCGTCAGCGGGGTAGGTTGACACAGCGACCCTGACTGATCCAAAGGACAGAGCTGCTGAGGAGGAGGAGGAGATCTGCAGCCCATGTGAGAGTATTAGAGGAAATGAACACAGCGCCAGAAAAGGTGGAGTAAAGGAAACACACACACACAGCAACTGGGGTGAGGGTGGGGGGTGTCAGAACAGGAGTGCAGGGGGCTAAAGAGCCCACCTGCCCTCCTCCACCGCTCTAGCTCACCTCCCTTGGCCGGGTGTCTGCCAGAAGCCCCAGGTTTCTTGGGCTCAGCAGCAGCTGCAGTGGAACCGGCACCTGAAAGTCATCCTTCCACAGGGAAAGCAGCATGTGCAGGAGCCTGCGAGCCTGTCCTCTCTCCAGCCGGTGCTGCACCGGGGGCCCGAGGACAGGGATCTGGTCTGCCACTTTGGGCAAAGAAAAAAGTCAAGCTTTGAGAAATGGAGGTAGGGTCACCTAGCTGGCCCCTGGGAGGTAGAAGAGAACAAAGCTCCATGTTTCTAATCTAGCTTGTACCAAAACCTGAGATCTGGGGGATGTGACAGAAGGGTGATGTAATGACAGAGAGCCATACCAAGGAGGGATGCTAACTCCACCGAGCACTTTGCCAGATGCTGCTCTGCAGGCGGGCACAGGAACTGTGGAGAAGAGGCTGGACGTTAGCACTATCCTTACAGCAGCAGACTTGAGCTGATGCAGCTCTGGTGACCAGCACTGGACAAGGACACAAGTACAGCGTCGTGTTAGGTCTCACCTGGCGGCACCGCAGTGTCTGGCCCAGCTGGCCCAGGAGCTGCTCCAGATGCTCCGGAGAGACTCCCTCCTCGGGGTCCCGGGGCCCCACAGCCAGAGCGAGCACATCCTGGAGAGAGCAGGGGTGGAAGCAGAGCGAGACTTCATACCTGGCTGGGACCGAGGAGGCTACCGAGAAGCCAGTGGAAAGAGGCAGAAGGAAAAGGAAGACAGGGTCCCCGGATGAAGCGGCCGGGCCAAGGTGCCTTAGACCTGGGACTCGGGCAGGACCGCACAGCTGGGAGAAGAAGCCAACCAAGTGGACAGCAACAGAGGGAACAGATGCTGCAGGTCAGCTGAGGGACAACATGCTGCCTTGAGAGCTCAAGAGATGTCACTCGTCTTGGGACAAAGCCACACCCATCCACTTCCCAGAGAGCCTTATCCTGAAAGCATTTAGGAGAACTGTCTGGCTACGTGTTATATTTTCTATCCCCTATGCTTCTCTGTTCATCTTCTTGGGAGAGTCCAGCTTCAGTACAGAAAACCACTTAGCCTTTTCTTCTCCCCACTATATACTCTCCATTTTTGTCATTCCTTCTTAGTCCCTAGTCCTAATCTTTGGCTCCACCAAACAGTAAATAGTTGAGGGTTTGCAGGCCTTAACATCTCTGCTGCTGTAGCACAAAAACAGCCCTAGACAATTCATCAGTGAACAAGTGTGGCTGTGTTCCAATAAAACTTGATTTATAGAAATCAGCAGCAGGCTGGATTTGGTCCATGGGCTGTTTGCTAAGCCCTACTCTAGACGGTATCTAAATTTTTACAATCAAGAGCAATGGTAGTTTATTCTTACTGCCTACAACTAAATAAGCATCACATCCCACATATGAGAACATTTCTGAAATCTTGTGCCAACACAGGTGACTGCCCCCTTCGAGGCTTTCCTACTACAGCAGACGTCCGCTCCCCCCAGACCCCATCACCTCCCATGCAAGCAGTATGCAGTCCACCGGAAACTTTCATATCTGTTCTTTTCCCCTTTTGGGTGATTCAGGTACCGGAAGTTAGTGAAAAGCAATTAGGAAAACAGTTCAGCTGTGCCCTACCTAATCCCGTTCAGTAACGAAGGACACCGAACTAGCTGCACAACACAGAAAGCGGCTACACAAAACACTGCAGCTGACGTGAGGAAGGAGGGAGACCAGGAAAAGAGCGGGGAGAAGGGAGAGGAGAGGGGCGCAGGGAGGAGGGGAGCTGTGTACTTTGATCTCGGAGATGAGGTGGGAGGGGAGGGGAGCGTGGTGCTCACAGGCTCGGGAGCAGCCCCTCCGCTCCCCCCGGGCAGCTGGTTCAGGACCCTGGGCTCGAAGTGTGCGACTCACTGCTGCCTTCACCTCCCTCCTGATCAGTGCTGCAGGTCAAAGGGAGAACAGAAGAGGGGTCACCACACCAACCCATGCCCATCACTGTTTCCAACTGGGTTATGTTCCTTCTCCCCTAGAGGCCTCCCACTTTCTGCCAGTCCACTTTTGAAGAACTTGGTCAGCCACTCCCCTGTCCTAGACCTTACCTGTGATGTTGGCTGACAACCAGGCACAGGCCTTCTCTGTCGCAAGCCCCACAGCAATGTTCTCTGCGCTGCTTAGAACCTGTGACCCAGAAGAACTGCAGCGTCAGGGGCCAGGGGAGGCTCAGGGATGAGAATGAACAACAGCTCAGGTGCCCCCAAGGCCGGGACCAACCCTCGGACCCATCCACCACCTTCATGCACATGTGACCTGCAGCGCAACTCTCCCACCACCAAACAGCAGCCCGCGGGCTCCAGGCCTCCTCCCTACTTACAGCTGCCGGGGTCTCCTCGGGAAGCAGTGCCCGTACTGCCCCAGGGCTCTTCTTCTGACAGAACCTGAAAGGAGACAGAGTCTGTGATGGCTAGAGGTTTTGGCCTGGCTCACAGAAAGAAAGGCCAAGTGCACCAATCAGCTGAACCAGGAGGGCTCTGCCTTGGGGAGAGGTGGGCAGGGGGTTAAGAGAAGCACTGTCAGCCCTGGGCCCACCCCTGATCCCTGACGCTGGGAGGAATGGGACACCCAACCCCCCATACTTCCAACTCAACTTTAGACTTTGGGTCCTAAAGCCTAAGATATATACCTACATAGGAAGTGAAAGAAAAAAGGGGTTTCAGAGAGGACGTGGAATAAAAAGAGATGAGTTTGTGAAAAAGAAAAAGTCAGGAAAAGCGGAGAGCGGGGATGAGGGTCTGGCATCTCTTACTCCCGCCCCCGGGTCAGTGCCTGGGCCCCGTGTGGGCACAGCTGGGAACACAAGATCTCCAACAGCTGGGCTGGATCACCCCCTTCCTGTCCCTGCGTCACCAGCTGCTCCTGAAGAAGCGACTCAGCCTGGCGTACCAGATCTGCCACCAGTGTGGCCCTGCAGCGGGGACAGAAAAGCTTGAAGGTGGTTGAGGGAACTGAATCAGAAAGGGGCTGCAAATGCAAGGAAATCTGGTCAGAACTAACCTCAAATAATGTTAGCAGTTTTAGCCTCCCCACCATATCCTTCCCCTCAAGCTAACTTTCCTCAGGTTGGCAATACAATGTTAAGAGTTGAGGGGGTAAATGGTAAGGGAATGAGCCTGGCACCTTCCACATCTGCCTTCCCAACCTCTTCAACCCTTACTTGATGTGTTTGACACAGTTAGAGCCGATTCTTTCAGCCACAAATTCCACAGTCCTGCGCAGGGAAGGTGGCTGGTTGTGGAAAAAGGCTTGGGCCAGCTGTGCCTGTGGGGAGGAGGCAATGGCGCATGAAGAGTTTCCTCTCTCTTCCCCCCTGGATGTCCCCTGCCTCTGCCCTGCCCTTACCTGCAGCCCCTGGGTGGTCCGGGGAGGCTGGGCTCCAAGACCCGTGGTGGTGGTGGGAGTGATCTTCCTCACAAAGCCTCCACTCCGCCCACTGCTGCCTGACACCCACGAAGCGAGCAGTTTTCGGAGCTCTCCTGCAACAGGGAAGCCCAACTGCTTAGTTCCAGAACCACCCCTACCCTCCCAGGCATCTTGGGACTTTAAGTATTTGTGGAGTAAAATGGCTGAGGCACCTGGGGAACGCCTAAGAAGAGAACAACATATTAGGGTGTTAGGCCCACGGGATGCCTTTTAGGTGCTCATGAAGGGACAGGCCAGGGACTGAGGACCCTGGGTGCCTCACCAATATAGGGGCAGCAGGTGTAGAGTAGGTGCTGGTCCACCACAGGCATGCCATCCTGGGGGAGAGAACAGGCCAGAGTTAGGCAGGCAGGCAGGCTTCTCTTCCTCCCCAGTGTGCCAGAAATGGGACAGTTGGGGAAGAGTTACAGAAGAGTTCAGTCTCTAGGAACTCCCAGACTGCCTGCCTCCTTTATTCCTGCCACTCCCAAAGCTTCGGCCAGACCCCAACACTTACCAACCCGTGCTCTGAAGTTACTGTATCCACCTCAAAAGTATCCAACTGACCCTCTTCCAGAAAGAACAGATCCTCAGGGACTGTGGGAATCTGACAAAAGATCAGAGCAGTGCAAACTCCAGTCAGTGCTTCAGAGATTCAACACACAGACCTTGTGGTTCCAGGATTTGGCCACCAGATACAAAGCAACCTTGCTCTGAAACCATGGTAATTCCCATACCCCCTCTAAACCTTCATCTTCTGGCCGTGACCTTGTTCAGACTCAGACATTCTCCTACTCCCCGACTCCACCCATAGTGGATGCCTCCCTTCCCCAATCTGGATCTTTCTCCACTTGACCAACCTGGAAAAGCCAGCCCAGAACAGCAAGCAGCAGCAACTTGTTAAGGAAACACATCTCCCCCTCGCTTTCCTTTGACAAGACCAAGCTCCTAAACAGTACATTTGTATAAGAAACAGAACGGAATAAAAAAAAGCTATCACTGGGAAGGTAATTCTCAAAAGCAGACCAAAAGGGGATGGCTGTCATACAGGTGACCAGGATCTCCCCACCGCCCCTCACCAGATCTGTACTCCCTCTGAGCTCAGCCACAGGAGGAATAAAAAACAGCTAATAAAAGTGCAAAAAAGTGCCCACTTTCTGCCTCTCCCCTGAGGGTAGGTTATGGCTATGGTACCGCACAGGAAGCACAGGGCTGCTCAACCCTCTTCACTGACAGCAGCTTCAGCAGTGTTCTCCCATGCCCTTGGCTTAAGCCTCACCCTTTCTGGACTCACCGATGTAGGTGGAGCAGGAGAGTGAAGATGCTGCGGTAATAGTCCAGCAGTGGCACAATGTGGTCAGCGAGGGAGAGGAACTCCACCAGCCAGGGCACCGTGAGCACGGCTCGGCGGGCCCGCAGCCCCTGCTGCAACAGCGCCCGCACATCCAGGGCCGGGGGCACCTGGTGGGGCAGGGTTGGGTCAGGGGGTGGGGGGCTGGAGGTGGGGGACGCCCTCCATCTCCAGGGCTTGGCGGCCCCTCCCGGCCCTCCTTACCAGAGCCCCCATTCACCTGGCTCCTCAGGGCCAGAATGGAGTCCTGGAGCTCACGGGTGGGGGGTGGCTCAGGCCCCCGGTATGGCAGGAAAGCCACAAAGCCCAGGAATTTAGCCAGAAGCCTCAGGCTGAGCAGCACCATGGCAAACTGCCTCCGTTCACCCTGTAGGGATCAGGGAAGCAAGATGTCCTAAGCATAGGGCTTCAAGAGCAATTCTGAATCTGTTACCCAGTTCTTGAAAAGAGCCCTTCCCTCCTAGGTCAGAACCCTGTTCTCTCCCTCATTCTGCTTTCTAACCTGCCAGTCCACATCTGACTCCCCATCGTCGTCACTGGGCTCAGGCTGTGGCAGGGCAAGGCTGTTGAGCTCCCGGATCTTTAAACTCAGACTGTCCATGAGATGCTGATTAAACTGGAAGCTAGGAAGTGAAGGAAAAAAAAAAAAAAGACACTGGCAGAGGCATAGACAGAATCGGAATACAGAGAAAGCTCATGCAGAAAGCAAGGCACAGTGGGGCAGAGAGGGAAGGAGGCTGAGGTTACCAGTGTGGGTCAAAGAACAGGAAAGGAAATGGAGGCAGGAACTGTGAGCTAGAGGAGCCTGGACATCACCGGTCCCACTCTGTTACATTCCAGGCAAAAGAGAGAGAACTGTTGCCCTTCTGGAAAGACAAACCCCTTCTGGCCTCAGCCCTATTCCCTGCACTTTGCAGGGGACCCTTACCTGCTGGCGCTCAGGATGAAGTCCCTGAAGAATCCCTGACAGCCCGGGAAGGTGGGGGGCGGACAGGGCCCCCCGCTGCTCTGAGGGGCCACAAGCCTCTCCTGTAGGCGCCGCAACCGCCCCAGTTTGTCAGCTCCAAGCATACTTAACACATCCGGAGCTTCACCCAAGACCGTGCCTCCGGTGCCACTGGGACTCTGACACATCTGCGCGGCAGGAAGAGGAGAAAAAAAAAACAGTTTTTCTGGAAAGAAGGACTGAACAAAATAGGGTGGAAGTAATGAACATTTCTGGAATGCCAGCCCTGTATCAGGTGCCACAAGTTTTTCAAGGTTGGGATCACGCTGTTTTATAGGTAAAGAGACTAACCTCACAAGGTTAGATGTTTGCCTCGGTCACTAGGGCCAGGATTTAAAATCGGGCCTGAGTCCTATGACAGGGCTCGCTCTACTATGGCACAGACCAAGGACAAGGGAGTAGTGAGGGCCTAAGGCTGGCAGGGTATGCTGGGTGTGTGAGGGAGGCCGTGGGTGCAGGGCACGTGATGGAGGGCTCTGGCTCCCCTCTGGCTGCCTGCATCTCAGCCACCCCAAGGAGAACTCCTGTTCAAACTCCAGCCCAGGACCTGCATATGTCTGTCCGCTCCAACCCACCATTACCTGGCTGCCTTTAATACCTACTGCCTCCTGTAGATTCATCTCTCCTGCTGGGGCTCTTACCTGGAGAAGTTGTTTCTGGAAAAGCCGAACGAAATGGCTGTGGCTGCAGGCTGCAGAGAGCTGACCCATCATGGCTCTGAGGCATAAGAGGCAGGAACAGAATGTAACGGAAGGAGGAAGGGGGCAGAAATCTGAGAGAACGAGCCAATCCTTGGGCCTTTCAGTCCTTACCCAGGGGCGTGAGCAGACCTCAGCCAGAGTTGGCCAGTGCAAAGATGTGGGAATAGGTAAGGGACACTCTCCTTATCACCAACATCCCTCAAGGCTACAGACACACTGAACCCACCAAGAGATAATACCATCCCTAATCATCAGTCTATACTGGGCTCTAGTGAGTATCATGACTCATGTGGAAGGTAGATCACTGGACAGGATATTCTTTCTGCATCTAGCTATGCAAAGTTATTGGAGCTGCTGAACTAGACAATGAAGAAAATGTTGGAAAGGGTCTAACCAGTGACTTGGGCCAAAACTCAAGCAACCTGGAAAACGGGCTTGGTATTCATCCAAGCATTCACACTCATATAACAAGTCTGAGTCATTCTGAGTGCAAGGAGCTGGCAATACAAATCCCTCTGAGTAGAGGCAGAGTTGCCAATAACTAGAGATTAAGGAGGACACAGAAGGTAGGAGCTATGGGCTATAAGTGGAGGAAGAGCCCTCCTCCAATCAACTATCAGAGCACCACTAAGGTGACCAGTGTGGGAGCACCTACCTGATCCTGCTGCCCAAGCCCTTCTCAAAATCCCAGCCAGGCTCCTCATGCCGATCTTCCCACTCTCGAAGCACCTCAAAAAACACATCCCTGACAGACACAAGAACGCCTGATCAACTGAGGCATAGCTGATCTCACTCCCAAGAGTGCTTTCTCTAGCTCCGAACCATCGAGGACAGGACTATCCACAGCCCCATTCCTTATCCTCTCCAAAGTTCTCTACATGCCAACAACATTGAAGACCCAGCAGCAGCACACAACATGCTTCACATACTTCTGTACACAGGAAAAGCTGAGCTGGTTCTCTCTTGTTTGAGGACCCTGTGACTAACGTCATATACCTGTGAGAAGGCTGCTGAGGTCAGAGGTTCAAGTCCATGGGCAGGAAAACGGAATGAAGGTGTGTAGCCATTATGATACTTGGCAGAAAGGGTGCAGTGGTGCTAAACTACCACCTATTAGTGCCAAACTCCTAGTTTCTAGGAAAACAACATAGGCTGCCTATCCCAGAGAAATGCTGCCCCACTCCCTCCTGAAAGTTCCCTTTTCTTGTCACCTTTGTTTTTTAAAAGTATGAAAGGCTCGGTCACTGGAGAAGTTGGCACGATTGTCAGTTTCTGGCTGAAAGGAGACAGCTTGAGCAGACGGTGGCATCGCCAGAGAGACCTAAAATATGGCAGGGACATTAGGGACTGAAACTCTCACAGATCATGCTCAGAAAACCTCATCTCTGTATTCCTGCCCGGAGTTAGCCCGGTGTGTGCTGGGCTGCCTAAATTATGAGGCTGGGAAGGGTCAGGTGGAGGCTAGGAGGGGTCCCTACCTTGGCAACACTGCCCTCATAGGCAGCTCGGAGGCGGCCTTGCAGAGCTGGTGAAAAGCACAGCAGCCGCTCATTCTCAGCCAACAGTTTTAAGGTCCCTTTGTCCAAGTAGGAAAGAACCCTGCAGCGACAAAAGCACATATGACTGGGAACGGGACATGGACTGCAAACAGGAAGCTGACATCTGCACGCCACAGAGAACATTATCTGGAACATGGAGCAGGCATGTAAGGCAAAGTCATGGGCCAAGGATCTAAGATGATGGAGGCAAGGGGGAAGAAACGAAACCTTATGGAGCAGGGAAACATTAGACATAAACCCAAAGATCAGATGCCAAGACCACAGACAGCAATTTGATGGTTATAGGAGTTAAATTCATAGCTTTGACCAATAACTACAGGCTCCATGTAGGAAAAGGCCCAAGGTTATTGCACCTGTGTTAAGCACAAGCATTTTACCTCAAGTGGCCAGAGACCCAAGCGAACATTGGGAATAAGGCTCAAATGCCAAAGCTGGGGAAACTCACTGAAACTGATGCTCCAAAACCTGTACTGCAAAGAAGACACAATCATGGACACTCTGGAACAGAGGGCTTTCCAGGGAATCTAGAAGGATAGTACCAAGCTGTCAGTTAAGAACTGTTCCATCTCCAGACCTCATTTCCCAAAAAGAGGCTCACTCACTGACCTAGTGCTCCCGGAATTGGTTCAAGGTCACTCTCCTTCGTGGCCACCATCCTCCGAACAGTAAGGAGTTGAAGGACGAAGAAAAGCTCCAAGAAGAGGTTTGGTACCAGGTTCTCTGGATATAAAAGGAAGCCCCAGGGTGTCAGGCATCATTTGGAACCAAGGCTCAGTTCTGCTTGCCTTATCATTTCTCCTACACCAAAATTCCGCAGGCATCTCCACTCAAGCGCCCTTTGCTCTCAACTACCTGCGATGCATGAAGAGTAGATGAGGGCTATCAGCTCTAGGCGCTGGCGGGAAGACACTCTGGCAGGGTCAGCGGGCTCAGCTGTGAGGTTACCTGTCCGGCTGGGGAGGGGAGACCCCAATTCTGAGGTGGGACAGGTGGGAGTAGGTGACTGCTGCAGCTGCTTAGAGCTAAGGGGACAGAGAGATGTCATGAGCGGTTCCCCTGGCTTCCCCTCCACAGCCATACTCAGGTTTCTCCAGGGCAGACATCCACAGCCCAGGAAACAGACACAGGGCTGCTCCCAGGGGCAAACCAATCTCAAGGGAAAAGGCCTGCAGATCCCCCACTGGGAGGAAGCTGACAACCCAGGGAGTGGCAAGGTCATACCGCTCCTTCCTGAGCATCTCCCGTTCCTCTTGCAGACTTCTGCACCCTGGGGGAAGGCCATGGCCCCAAGGGCTAGTGTCCGGGACTGAGGGTTGGGAACTGGGGACACAGTTGATTGGGGGTGAGGTGAAGCAGGTCTTGGGCTTGGACAGTGACCGCTCTTCGCTCACCGGAGTTGGATTGATCCTGCGCGAAGGCTTCGTCCTGCTGAGTAGCCACAGGTTTTTCTCAAATTCGTTATCTTCAAACACCTCCCCCTCCAACACAACAGCGGGGGGTGGGGGGAACTTCGCAAAAGGCCCCTCACCATGTGGTTAACTCACCCCCAACCCTCGGGGCATTCCCACGCTCAACTGCGGAGCGCCCAGCCCTGATTTACTGATTCCCCTAACACAGCCTTCGTGCCACCCCAATCGTGGATGGGGCCTGATTCTCACCCTGCAGGGCCGGGGGGAACCGAGCCTACGGGAGGGAACTCCTCCAGGTTGCTGAGGTTTGGCGGATCAGAGCGCGCGAGGCTGGGGCTGCAGGGGCTGCCAGATCCCCTGGGCCTCCGGCCCCCGGCCCAAGGCGAACTCTCTCCGCTGACCCCCTCCTCCAGGCCCCCGGGGCCGCGGCCTCCCCGCTCGCGACCCGGCCC